CTGGTGCAGCTGAATACTGGGAATATATATATATATATATATATATATATATATATATTGTTAGTTTTACATTTAACGTACCTACAAGACATCGAATCATCGTATTGATTCATAAATGGACTGGTTCTGAAAGAGCTATTCAAACAAACAATCACTGGTAATGTCAGTGAAGAATTTGGGCACATATAGTTAAAATGGAAATGAATCCAAATAGATAACATTGAAGAGGACAATAGGAAACAGTACTGTAATCAAATATCTTTACTCGCGTTTTGCTCGCACTTTGCTGTTATGCTTATGTCGGTACACTCATACACCTAGCAATCATGTTTTCTTCTATCCCACTGATTGGATCGATCAAATCTCGTTTGTGTAATAGGATTTTTTCTATTGTTTTTCCATTGCCTTATTTCATTCAATTCGCTCTTACCCGAACAGATTCACCTCAGCGAGGAACAGTTTTCACCGGGCAAATGCCACCACCGAATCAACCTCCACCCCCACCGCCGGCCGTTGCTCTCGGTCTCAGTTTGCCCGGCCTAGTCAATGGCGGTATATCTGCACAGGAACATCATCCAGGCATGCATCACAACTCACTAAACTACGGTGCTGATTCACTGTCCCGTCGACCGAATGGAGCCCCGGCCGGTGCTGCCGGGACACCAGTGACCGGTGGCTATTCGGCCACCGGGCCCGGCTTGCTTGTCGGTCCTCCACCACGTATTCGTGACTATTCCGAATACGGCATCCCTCGCGGAATCGGATTGCCCCCAACCCCGGGGACAGCTGCTGCTGCTGGTGGGGGTGGTCAACCCCAACCGCCACAGCACAACGCTCTGATGGGCAATCCGGCCATGGTTCAACACAATCACGGTAGTATGATGTACGAGGGTCGTTATCGTGAAGGTCAAGCTTGAACAACTCTCTCTCTCTCCCAGTCGATCAATGAATCACTCACGTACCCGGTCGGCGGAATTCAGTTTCCCCCTGGCCCTTCCTTGTTCGACCGTGTTCATTCATTCGCTTCATTGTGTATCATGCGTAATTTCTACACTGCGCTGCATCCCCGACGCTCTACGGACTCCCGTCATACAACAATACATTCGTGTGTGTGTGTGTGTGTGT